AAGAAAGAGTTCAGTGAATGTTTCCTTTTGCATGTTTTACATGCACATAATGCAGTTACCTTCTAGAATTTCAGTACAGGAAAGATGCCAAGCAGCAGAGTCTTTTGAAACCAATTCAACAAAATCCTTGCAGGAAGTAAATTTTTTATGATGTAGTCAACTTTTCCACATATTGCCATTTACATGGTTAGTGCGTGGACCGCAGGCAAAATAATTTGGAATTGTAATCTTTATTTTCTATAATATGATAATGAAATCAACAACTATCCACTAGAATCAAATTAATTTCTCTCTGTTACTCCAGTGGGAGGAATAAAAGGGTTCTACTGGTTAAACTGCCAGGCTAATGGGAAAATCAAAATAAAAACAGGTCCTTGGATTGCTGGCAAATAAAAAATGCTTATTTTAAACATGATGGTGGACATATAGAGAACTTAAAATCTTTTAAAATCTGATCAAGCAAGCTTTTTCCGAAGGTTTTTAATTCTCATCCATGAAAATCCTATTGACTTCATATGGATTACAGCTGGCTAAAGTGTGGGTATGTTCTTAGGCTCTACAAAGGCATGAGACAGTGAAAGCCTCAAAACTCTGTAAATGTCTGAACTTGATTACAAATCTAACAGGAGAAAAACTTACACTGTCCAGATGACTAAAATAATGTTTTCCTAGAACTGTTTGTCGCTGATAGTGACAATGATGATTCTTTTTTTGTTAATCTAGTGAAGATCTGATTTAATACTCAGATTTTAGTCTTTGCCCCAGAATTCTAAGTGATACATTGTGTAAAATGTACTTTGTATATGTCATGGTACAGGATTGACCTGCATATAAGCCGTTAGTATACATAATTTGGCAAGCATTTATCTACTAATTGAATAAATGCAATCCTTTACAAACACCTGGCTGGAAAGCTGAAGTGCAGCAGCATACAAACAGCAGGTTGTTTAAACATATACAACCAGCAAAGCAAAGATCAAACGTTAGAATGAGTCTCCCATTTGAAATCTATTGTGCCAAGCCCTCTGGATCTAACAGCTGGACAATATTTTTTGTACCACTAATTAAATCTGTCTGAAGAATATGGGTTTTAAAAAAAAAAAAATCAAACACATACTTCTTGGGGTCACATAGAAAACCACTCATGCATTCTGTAACTCCAGCAGATCACATGTAGCAAAGAGCAGAGCTGAGAGCCTGTTGGTTAGAAATTTATAATCCAAAATTTTCCTACATCCACTACATTTTGGGAATCAGGAGAATTATGAATTAAGGAGATGATCACAAAGATCACAAGGAATTGCTGCAGTATTTGCTAAATATGTAAATGCTGTGAAGGATGTAGGATCTTACAACCAAGGCTCAGAACAAACACAGGAGCAATCTTGAGCCTGGGAGCTGCTCAGAAATTAGGTAAAAAGCAAAAAATGAGAAATCCAAAAATCAAGACTGTCAGCTGTTAGAAATACCTGTAACCCATTAAAATCACGTGCTTAGCATGAGTTAAGTGTCTCCCTGATGTATCCATGCAGCAATGAGGCTCCTGTTCCCCAGGAGAGGGACATGGCACAAAAGGAGCTGATTGATTCCTTCTTGCACTGAGCATCTGATTGGGGCTGATCAGTTTATGGGTGTCACACTGAGTGTGTGACGGACACTCCAGGACTCTGTCCTGCCAAGGCTGTCTGAGGGTGCCTGCTCAGAAAGGGGCTGGTTCAGAGCTCACCAAACTCAGATTTCCACTGGCTGCATTCTGGATTAGGCCTTTTCCATCCACCTGTCTGGAGGGGGATTTTCCATCCCAGTGCAGCTGTGAGATGCAGCTTTCCACAGTGTCTCATTCTGTCCTTTTTTAGTGCATTGCATTCTTCTAGAGCAAAATCTACCCACTGACATGTACAGATTCTCTGTCCTGCTTATTAATGACATTTCTGCACTCCCTGTGTTTACCAAAGAAAGCAATCATGCCTTAACTTCCCTCTGTGTGTGCTCAGATTTGCATTATTTGGCTCAGGCACTTGCAAAGGTACCACGCTCTGAGCAATGATAAAGAACTGAGTCTATAATTTAATAACCCTCCTCTGACTAATTAGTATTCACTCAATGAACAAAGCATTTTCAGGGGTCCAGTCAAAGGCCTAAGCACCATTCCTCGAGGCACCTCTGAACTGAATTGGGCCCTGTTTTATTAAATTACAATAGAAAGACTGCCATGTCAAGTGCACTGATGCTGGGAGCCCCAACCTCGCAGGACCTCACAGGGATAAGTAATCATCACTTATGCTAATAGCACATTTGACTTCGTGGGATGACACATGAGGATGGACTACTTACTCGACTAAGATTAGTAAGAACAGACATGTTACACAGAACAAATGACTTCTAAATATCCAGCTGCAGCCAAGTGCTGACTCCCATCAGTGAGTGTTGTGAGGGTGAATGAAGGGCAGGATTAATCTCTAGAAACCTCACTGAATGCTGTTATTGAATTGGTGACAGTTTTGCAGATTTCTAACCCATAATAAACCTCAGCTTTGCCTCCTCAGTGACACACTTCTCCACTGCTTCCCTGCTCTACCTTCCTTTTCTTTTGCCGTACTCCAACAACCCTTTAAAATAATTTTTTAAAACTATTTCTTCTTTAATGTTTGAAAATTAATTTTGCAGGTTTGAAAGGTATCTAAGTAACAGCCACAAACCACAGACTCTGCTATTTACCTGAGCAGATTACTTGGTAGCCTCTCTCCACTGCCCTGCCAAGGTTCCTCCCCTCTGTTCTGCTGGGATCAGCACAGTCTCTGCGCTCATTTAGTCTTTGGCTTCTCCTTCAAAGCTGACAATAGGGGCATCATACAGGGTATACCATTCCAGTGATTTTGTCTGATAAAATGCCCAGCTCTTAGGCTTCTGTTTAACACAATTTTGTTCCTTACAGGTCACAGAAACAATCAGATTTTGGCCTGTATGATCTATAATGCCTTTGAACCAGCATTTCAGGAAGGGAAAAATCCTCATGTCTAACCTGACTCAATTTCACTTAATTCTTTTGATTTTGTCACGGTTCAGGGTTTTTTTCCCTATTTTGTTTCCACTAATTTTAAAAGTATTTTGTTGGTGTCCCTGCTTTTTCTATTTTGACCAGAATTTTTTAAATTCATCTTTTTTTAATCACTGACTCAAGAAGCTTATTCTAAGAGTAATGTAGTGGTGACCACTGATGACCGGCTTCCAGGGATTTTATGTAGCCAAGGTTAATTTGTTCCTGAGAGCTGGAAAAACCATGAATGGCAAAACATATTTCTGGTACATGCATAATAACTTGTATAAATATTGTATCCAACACCAAAATCCCAAACATAGAACCTGCTTACCAAGGGACCCTTAAATCTAGTTTTGTTTCACTATAATGTAGAGTTCTGTATAAAAGCCACAAAGACCATAAGTATTATATCATTAGTAGTATTCTTAAGTGGGTATTTTCCTGTTTCTTGGGGGCTTGTAGCTCAGCTGTAATGATTGTTCCATGTGTGCCTGGGTGTTTTGCCAATCACACCAGTGAAACAAAAATGCCCTAATTTCTACAACTTTGCTTTCATTGCACTGTAAAGCACTAAAAGCAGAAACAGTTTCCTGAAGAACTCCTCCATAGCAGGCCCTTGAACAAGATGACTGTTTCTAATAAGCAACAGCTGTCGTTGTGGTTTTACTAGTCAAATGATTCATGTCTTTTGCTCAGAAATGATAAGTGGAACAAATGTTTACTTAGATATGTAGCAGAGGAACAATTGAAAAATAGTAGACTGTCAAATAGAAATATTTTCCTGTTATCTGATCCTTGACAATTAGTCTGAACTGGTATTTATTCAGAAGGCAGTGCTGCAGTGGCACGGCTGGGCTGATGGGTTTAGCTCAGGAGATGTGAGCCCAGCAGACTGGAGGGGGGCACAAGCACCTCTGTACACACTGCTACACCCACACCCCTCTTTCCTGGCAGCCTCCTCTCTATATTTAGTCATCTTTGAAAGGGAGATGGTGAATTTACCATTTCCTCTCCTTTCTGCTGTTCAGGGAACACCAAAGAGCCGCTCTGCTGCTTTGGTTGTGAGTGGCTCCTGGGATCTTGCAGGATCTTCTGGCAGCAGCAGAGGGAAAGTGTTCTAATGCAGGAGATTCCAGGCTCAGTTCAAGGACAAAAGCATTGCATTACCCTTCACTTGTTGGGAAGGAGAGTCTAAGAGAGCCTTGATGTATCTCTGCTGAGCCTGGAAGCTGCTGCAGTCAGAGAGATTTGACACCCCTGTGGCATCGCAGGGCTCAAGGTAAATTTTTTTTAAATGCTAGAGGAAGCAGTGGCAAACTAACTCTTATGAGCCAAAGAAGGCAGGATCAAAAAATGGTGTCAGCTGCCTTTGAAAGGAGGTCTGGGAGACTAAGAGGGATGGAGAAGGCCAAGGGAGCCTTGGGACGCTGAATGTGCAAGTGAAACCAGTGTACATCTATATCTTACTTGAACTTATATGGATGCTTGCCAGTATATTAGGGTTTAAATCCACCTTAATTTTGGATAGTTTCTGGACTTTGCTGCTTTTTCAGAACTCTCTCTTCACTATCACTGTATGACACTGCTCTGTCTTGTACAGAAAGATTGTCAGAGCTTCACTTTCCCATCTGTAAAATGGGGATAATATTTCCTTTCTCCCAGCCTTTATTCAGCTTACAAGGCTCCTGTGACCAGAATTCTTTTATTGCTTTTTTCTGTATTGTCTCATGCAACAAGATCCTGATCTCAGTTGAAGTCTGTAAGTATCACAGAAATATAAATAGATAATAATAAAGAGATTATTTTGACACAAAAATGGAATTTTATATTCTGGAGAGTGAAATAAAATATATACTAAAGTCTACTAAAGTGCAACCGTGAGATCAAATGATAAAATTCTTCCAGCAACAAAGAGTTGACACAAATTTGTGAGATTAAACTGAACCAACTCAATGGAGGCTTGTTCTGGTGGTTTATTCATATAAAGCATATGAAAAAAGTAAGTGAGATGATCAAATTACCCTCACAGCATGGATTTTGACATGGATGTAGACTAACTGAGTCACTGGAGGACTGAGCAGGTGCGTGGTTCTAATTATACCCTCAGTCTTGTGAGGAAGGAGCAAACTTCCCAGTTGCTTCCCTGGTGGAGATAAGGTGTTATCAGCCATCAGCAAACGAGAGGGGAGAACAAGGACAAGGTACCTGATGGGAGAAAGAGGAAGAAAGGAGGAGGCAAAGAGAGAAGATTCATAATGCTACTCATCTTTTAAAAATGTACACACACACTGACTCTGAGCCATTTGGATGCCACTTCTCATACTCATTTCTGGTGTCTCTGAGTAACCCTTCCTTATGGCGAGCCACACAAAATTAATTTTTAACATTTTCTCTTTTATGGGCTTGGAGTGAGATATCTGGCTAAATATAATGATTTATTTGTTTATTAATTAATCAACAGGCATGCTAGGAGTTACAATCCAAACTGTCCCCACACACAGGTTTTTATCACCATACACTGTGCCCCTAGGGAAATACACATCTTTTTTTCAGGAGTATAAATGGACATTTCTATAAATTGCAACTACTTGGGTGCATGTAATATGCAATATTATTCATCTTTGTATTCCAGGTGAATCCAGACTAGACTACCAGCCTCTAGGGGAGTCTGCTTCATATAATTATCAGTATTCAAAGAATGATTGTAGATGTTGTAGCTTAACAGCAGGTGAATGGTCCTTATCTGAATATTAAATAAAGTGCAGCTGGATTTCTGGGTTATCTCTGGCTAAATGTTTGTAAAGTCATTAGCGAAAGCATGCAGCTATAATCCCCACCACTCTTCTTACAAAGGATTTCTGCTTTTGTTTTAATTCCTTTACAGGGTGAATTGTTCATCTCCCCTTCCTATACAGACAATCTTGTCCCTTGGTTGGACTACCAGAAACATCAAGGAAGCTGCCTTGTAAGTAGTACCTACATTTTTATTTTTTTTTATTCCTAAACAACAAAAGAAACTAAAGGAAGAGTGACAAAGAGAAAGATTTATTATTTCCTCTAAGGACTATCAGAGCTCTGGGTGTTGGGAAAAAGCTCTGTAGTAAACTGCTCCTTTGTCCTCCCAAGTTCTGGTAACTTTAATTCTATATTCATTTCCTTATTGCATGATCTAAGAAAAGTTTTATGTATTTATTTAGTAAAACCCTTTCCTTATTGTTTTTAAATGGAGGGTTTAATATACTTGAAAACTGTTTCAGTAGTCTGACAGTGATTGTTATGTGAATGTAGTAGATCGTAGTTATGAGAAAATTAATAGAACAAAGAAAAAGAACAAACCCACTCCCTGCTGAGCAGAAGGGAGAGACCAGACTCAGCATAGGAAAATTACTGGAGATAAAGGAAGAGGAATTACCATGGGACTATACAGCACAAGAGTTTTGAGGCACAACTCCTGTTTCAGTCGCTAGATATGAAGAGCACAGTGGTGCTACATTTTGAAGAGCAATTTTCAAGACAGACATATTCTACATCAATTAACTGGGCCAGGACTCCACCCACATCCTTTGCCAGGCACCACAAAAGCCTTGCACCCACCTCAGCCTGGGCCATCACCTTCTCACAAGAATTGCAAATATTTTGTTCTGAATAAAGAATATAAAAATAATAGAACATTAAATATGATGCAGCTGAATATTAAAAACCAAACACAACCCCTCCAAAATGGAGCCACCTCTACAGTAAGTTATATACTATTTATTTGTACATGGACTCCCATTTATTTTGAGCTGTGGGACATGCTGAATTTTTGGCACTGGCAAGGCCAACACTTGAGTTTTCAAGCATTAAACCCCTCACTGCTGCTGCTTCAGGCTTCTTCAGGCTCAGGCAGATGTTTCTACACCCATCTGCAAGGCTTTCTGTTCATCCTTGCAGAAATGCAGGGTAGAAACTTTTTATTTTTTTTTTTCAAAAAAGGGAGGAAGGAAGAATACTGAGCACAATTTTGTGCTTAGCTCCAAATTGCCCAAGCAGCCACACAGCCTGAGGGATGGCAGAATGCAGGGGATTCTCCTTCTCCATGCCTAAGTCCTGTTTCCTTCCACAGCAAGAAATGGCAAGAGCTTTTTCCAGCAGCCAGCACTTCTGTGTCTTTTTTACTTAAAACTGAGTAAAAATGTAAAGCTAATTAATTTTGGAAGTGAGCTGATTCACACTCTTCCATCAAGAGATGGATGTCCTGAAGCTCTCTAGCTTTTCTAGCTTTGTTCCTTGGGACATCTTCAGTGGATGTTGCTGAGGATTCATTCTGGGCTTTGTACCTGTGATACCTCTGCCAGCCTGGATGTGTGAACTACTTTCAGTCCCACATTCCTAACTATATTCATATGGAGTGAACTGCACAACAACTGAAGTATCAGCTGTCTTACTCCTGTTTTCATAGCATTAGAAAGGGAAAAAACAAAACAAACTAAGTAAGCAGTGTTTTTTGGTTGTGTTTTTAGTGGATATGATATTTTAAAGGGAAGGGCTCTACACATTCAGGCAGGACCTTTAGGTACCATTTCAGAGCTCCCTCCTCTAGGACCAGAAGTACTTTATTTTGACTGGAACAAACGAGAAAAGTTAGCAACTGTTTTCTATTTGGTATTTTTATAAGTATAAAAACCACAAAACTCCCAAATAACACACCCACCTCACCTTTCCTCCTTCCCAAAGAAATTTAAAAGCTTCAGCCAAAATTCTTCTACATAGTTCAAAACCCAAATTTTCATTCTTACTCAAGTGTGAGTCACCTGCAGTCACTGGGAATAGGTCTGGTTTAACCTTAAAACCACCCATTTTCTAATGACACTTTTTAGCAATACTTGAAGTCATGTTATTTGCATTTGCTATTATTTTTATAATCTCTTGAAGCATTAAACACCTACTTATTTAAAAGTAACCCTTTAAGAAGCCATTTGCACCTATAAGTCAATGGCTGAATCCAAATCCATGTGAACCTGGTGGAAATTCTGACACTTATTTCAATCTCAATTTGGCCAAATTTTCAGTAAAGAGGAAGATGATTTGCTTAGGGAATGATGAGGGTTGGCTTTGTCCCTGTCATCAACCACATGCTGGCTGATATAAGAGTGAAACTTGGATCTGCTCACAGAGGCAATCAATCATTGGACTGGATGCCCTTGTTCAGCCAGGCTAAGCATTGGGACAAACACAGGGATGTGATGGGAAAGCAAAAAAGAAGTGAGTTTTAGAGAACCTGAGTACCTCTCATGTTTCTGTATCATGTCCTGAGAAAACTTAAAGCAGTCAGTTTATCCAGCATATGGCTCTTCTGTAGCTGATTGCCTGAGGCTGGACCTTGTGGTCTTTATTCATAATTTCCACCACTTTCAGGGCCAATATTTGCATGCAGGAGGGCTGCACAGAACAGCCATGATATTCATGTATTCAACAGAATACATGCTGGCTGTAATCTGAGTGGGACAGGGATGATTCCCATCACAGCTACAGACTCTTCACCATTGCCTCAGCAGGTGCTGCCAGGTCTCCTGAGCAGATCTGTGACTTGGCAGAGTTTTTAAATATGTACAGACTAGAACACCCCCAGCAACACAGGCCTGGTTTCAAGCACTGTGGTAAACACTGTAGTACATAGTTTGCAATTGCACAATATTTACATGAGGAATGTGGTTGTTTCCAAGTCTACAGCACACAATCATCTGTGTGAGTCTGATGGGAGCAGCTGGTGAAGGTAGAACCTGTGCCCTGGGCTCCCATCAGCAGAGGTGCCCATGGGCAGGGCCCTGGTGCCTCTCTGCCTGCTGGCTGTGTTAAAGGCTGGGATGGGGATGCAGGGAGGGTGGAATGGCACATTCTGGGCTTACACCCACGAGCCAGCCCCACAGAGCCACAGGCAGTCCCTACAAGCTGCAGCAGCTTCCACAGGGCACAGGGTGAGCCCTGACCTAGAGCCTGGTGCTCCTTGCACTGGCATCCAGGGCGTGCCCAGTGCTCAGAGCCCTCAGCCTCCAGGAGAGGCAGGGGCAGGCCCAGAGCAGGTAAATCACTGCTAGCCATGGAAACATTCCCTTACAGAAGAGGGTGTGAGTTATGCAAATATCTACTCTATAAATCTCGTATGTGGCTTTGAAGAAAAACAAAAACGCCACTTAAATTTTTTTCCAAATTTGGCCACAGTATAGTTTTGTTAGTTCAAAGAAATGAAGCTAACTTTACTGTTATTTGTGTTTGGATCAAAGAAAACTATGAAAATAAACATTAGACAGAATGATAATCAACACTGGAAAAGAAATGTTTACTAAAGATTTTCTTCTGTGTTCTCTTACCAGCATTAATAATATTTTCTTTTTCTAAAGTTTTCTTGCTTCCTTCAAAGAGATTGATTTCAGCAGAAAGAACAAACATATGCAAATAAACTGAATGATGTTATACCCCCTGCCCCTATCCCCCCAAACTGCATCAGATAATTCCATATTGTTAATCTGCATTACATTTTTATCAGTTTTTTGTCTTAATCAGATATGAAGCCCTTGCAGTACATCTCTAGAACTGGGCTGTGACCCTGATGTGACTCTACAGCACAGAAGCAGCCCTAACCCTGCTGTAATCTAATAGTTCAAATTTAACAGATTTGTTTTTTCAGTGGAAATAATGGCTTCCTGTCACAAAACAGAGACACAGATTACATATCTGATAAATGGTTTGACATGATTTTTTTCATGTAACACACAATTAACAGTGCCTTTCATAAGACTCATGCTCTAAGGATTTGGTGAAAGCATGAATAAGTTCATTACTATGCCTTTTCTTAAAAAAAAAACACCCTACATTTCTGCTGCTACTTTAAAAACAAATATTACTTTGCTTAGAAAGAGATCACCTATACTTTCCAGTGTTAATTTAGCCTCAAAACACTATACTGAAGTTATTGCCACTGAGTGCTGATGTATTTTTTTTCATGAGGCATATAATTATAATTGATAACCCCAAATGGAAATGGGATAATTTTGATTTTATAAGCTACCACCCATACGGATACTGAAAATTTCCACATTATAGCTATAATTGTTTTTTGTCATGCCATAATCCCCTAAACATTATCAACTAATTAATAGCTGAACAATACATAAGGAGATATGCAGTTCTGTGGATAGAATTGGATATTTTGAAGGAGTTGATTATCAGCAGTTTGGTTTTGAAGGCACAGCTCAGAGCTGCTTCTGGTGCCTTCATTGGTTCTCTTCTCTTCAGGCCACCCAACCACCAGCCTTACCCTGTGAGCTGCTAACTCCCAGCACTTACAATGAGGTAATCATCACCTTGTAGTGGAGTGGCGTGAATGCTGGTCAGATGGCCTGTATTTTATTAACAGAAATAGGGTCACAAGTCAAATACATGCTCGGGGTCAGTGAGCAAATACAAAAGAAGATTAGAGGAACAAAAAAATGTGACTGGAGGGGTAAAATCCCACTGGGGGTTAATCGAGCAGAAATGTATCAAAGAATGTAAACTACCCTTTCTTTTGTTATTCATCATATGGGACGGAGTTCCTGTGTCCTGCTGATTCCAGGCAGATAGGGCATCATCTCCAGAGTGCTGTCCTTTAATGAGCTCTTTGGACACAGGGACTGCCAATAATACTCCTACCTCTGCTATTACTACTGCTACTACTCTTAAAACAATAACAGAAATAAGAATTAAAACCACTTAGCATAAATACAGAGATAAAAAGATTTGCTTTACCTAATACTGCACTATCCAATGACTGCCCACAAAACTAAGAGAAAAAGAGCATTCAGTGTCACTGCTCTAGGAATTTCTTCTGCCTCCAACATGGAAATACTGGACCAAGAATTGTCTCCAATACACTGATTTAGCTCCAGCTTGCGATGTAAATGAATAAATGATATAAAAGTATTTCTGAAGAGATGGTATTGCATTGGCACAGTTTTAGTTTTTCTAAGAAAGACTGTCTTTTTGAGTGATGTAATAACAGAAAAGGAGCCAGCAGCCTGATCAGCACAGTAAGTACAGGACTCAGAAGGGCCCAAAAGGCAGCAGACAAAAAAATCATAGGGTACTTACCAAGCAGCGGCTGATTTTCTCTTCTGATACACATTCATCGCTCTTTCTGTGACAAGAAGCAGAAATTCTGTCTTATTTGAACTACACACATTTGTCTAATTCTTTAAAATCCCAGCAGTAGAAAACTCCCTTTTCATCAATTTCCATTTATTATGCTTGTAGCTACATATTGTAATATGAAATCTTCTATCCATGTATACTGCACATCTATAGATTTTATGTTTTCACACATCACATGAAAAGCATATTTCAAAGCTATTGCATTATCATGTGCCAGAAGAATATTGCTGTGGGAATGCAGACACATTACCAAAAGCACAGTATAAAACAAGGAAGTGAGAGTCAGGAAGGAAGGAATTCTTAGTTCTACGGCTACTCTGACTTACTGTGCAATGTTCATCAAAGCTCTTAATCTTATTTTGGCATACTTTATATATAAAATAAGCAATATGTCCTTCTGCAAGGCTGAAATAAATGTTAACTGGTTCAATCATGCCCTTTGAGAGCAAAATTGGAATTTCTGTCATCAACACCAAGATGAGCCAAATCAGGCTCAGAGACTGTAAATCTTTACGTGCCAAAGAATAACACTACATAGCTGAAAATTTCATGGCCAGACACAAATTGTGGTAGACGACTGAAGGATTAATGTGAAATAAAATACAGTAAATCTAAGTTTTCCATGAACTGAAATTGAAGCATTCCTTCATTACCTCCCCAGCTATCTATAGATGCTTTCCCATACCATTTATTTTCACTCATTATATCCCTCCTTCTGGAATAGATACATTTCATCCTGCATCTTTTAGCAAAGTCTGTATCTAACTTACATATTGTCCCTTGAGTTTAAAACTAATTTTGTGCTTAAGTGCTTTGCAGGCTTGAACCTTCTTGGGGCCACATGCAGGATTTTTCTCCTCCTGGGATGATGAGAGCTGTGGTAGTGTGTGCACACTGTGTCAGACCTGAGATCAGCTGCCAAGTGTGGACACCCACAGAAGGATTTTCTTTACAGAACTATCTTAAAAATGGAAATGTCTGTCTCCTCCAGCTATGCTGGCAGACAGTGTTTACCCAAAGATCCAGATACACAAGACCTTGTTATCAACTGCAGCTTTTACACAACTTTCAAGTAAGTTAGTGGGTTGGAAATCACACATTTTAGAAATATTTTCTGAAGGATGTGATCATATTTGCTGCCCTTGAAAGTGTTTAATGTTGCATGTTCATTACATATTTTTGTGTTACTTAATTTAAAAGGTTTAAGAAAACCAAATTGCCACAGAGTGGATTTATAGATGCTTAGAAAGTAATAAGAGATATTTGATACACAAAAAAAGAAAAACTTATATAGCTACACTGACATGCAATTAATAAATTTCTAAAAAGCCACTAGCAAAGCATCTTTCCAAGTTTACATTTCAGTCCTTTGAGCACTTTCTTTGGAATACTGTCCACTGAAACACAACATTTTGAAGTCTTTCTGCTAACTTAATGTAGAAGCACTAGAAGAGTTAGCTTTTTAATAACGTGGTCAAAATATTTTAGGAAATATTACTTCATGAGCTATAACTAATCAATTTGCACCTGTATTATGTGGAGGAGACACACTATCCACTTTGGACAGTAGTGCTGAGATGTCCTGATGTTTGCATAACACCAGCAAGCTGTATTACTACTAAAAGGCTTGTGAATAAGAATTTTACTGCAGTCACAACATATCCATTGAGCTCTTCTAGTAAATTGATCACTCAAATAAAAATAAAGGAATGTTTTTGATCTGTAACAAAGATGAGCAAAAAGTAAACCTTCTCATCTTAACTCTGCATTAGGGAAAAAAATGAACTTTGATCTATCATATTGCAGAGCTGCTTGTATTTCAATGGCAATTTATCAATTTTTAATAGTCAGAGCTCCTAAGCAATAAAAGCTTCTTAGACTTCCTAATCTAATAGCCATTATTTAAACTTTTTATTCTGTATGATTTACTGTTCAGAAGCAAGAAAGCAACATAATTTCTTAAGGATTCTTTCTTTTATACAAGTTGACGGAGTCCAACACTAGTAAATTTGTGTAAAACAAGTGCAAAATCCCACCTTAATATCTGTGAACCTTTCTCATCAAATTTAACAGATAGCAGAGTGCATCAGCAAGAGGACTGGGCTGGGGTCAGGCTGCAGCAGCAGCAGCAGCCCCCTAGAGACCCCTGGCCCAGCAGGGATGGGCAGGGTCAGTGGCACCCCTGCCCTGCTGGGAGCAATTTGGGAGCTCTGCCGGTGTCCCAGGGCTGCAATGTGTCTGCAGCTCCCTCTGCTTCCTCCCCCAGCACCAGAAGGGTGGCAGAGTCTCTCCCAAGGTGTGGTTCCAGCTCCACGGTGAGTCCCAGTTTTCCTGGGAAAGGTGTGCCCTGTGTTCTAAGACAGCAGCGGGTGAGGACACTCAGCACCCTGTGGGCTTATCAAGTGAATCTAAAATGAGCTTAAGATTGTCTTGTTTTAAAAAGGTTACCTTGGCAAGTCCAAAGCACAAGGAGAAGCATTTAAGAGTGCAGATCTAAACTTGCATGTTGTTACTGATAGACATGAAAGCCTAAGGTCAGAATTCAGAATTCAACCACTGTGACCCAAAAATGCACCAATGTATTTGGTAAATGGAAGCCCCGCTTACATCACATCTTATCATAATGTCACAAAATGCAGAAAATTACAAATCAGTTTTAAGGCAAAATACATGACAGCAAAATATAAGTACACAAAAACTACATTAAATATCAGTCTTCATTTGTCCCTACCACTTCAACTTACCTCTCAGTTCCAAACTCCTCGCTGCAGTGCACAGCTTGAGATAGTCTAAGATCCATTTTAGAGTGGACTGAAATATAAATGACAGTTCGCACTACACATGAACATAGACAACTGTATAAAATATTTAAATAAAGACAGAAAAGAACAGAGGAAACCAACAGAGCCTTTGGCAGACCCAGCCTTTGGGAATTTAGCAGCTTGAGATTCATTGCAAATTTCATCTTTAATGTTATTTTTAGTTCAATATTTTGTAGCACTCAGAAGTAAATCTTTGTGTGCTGTTTCTCCTCCTGCTTGTGCTGCTTCCTTTTCTGATCTTTTCTTTTAAAGAAACCTAATATATTTTCAATACAATTGATTTGTGACATGTTTTGTGATATTCGTTAAAGTTATCCTGTTTCTTCATACAATTCAGTAAAAACCATTACGCTGTTGTTTCTTTTAAAGTGCTGAACAATGCTTGTCATAACTGAACAAAATGAGACCCCCCAACAGTCTTTGTTCCACCACACCTGGTGTTGCATTAAATTCTCTGACATTAATTTTGATTCTTGGGTTAGAGTCAAACACTTTTTTTAACCTCTCACCACTGTTCCAAACGCTGCCACACACAGTGCATTTCTAGAGCAGTTTTGATTTTATCCTGGAATCTGTCCTTTGTCTCTCTCCTCAGCAATCTGACTGGAATGGTACACAAAACACAGGGCTGGGGGTGGTGCAGAGAGGATGCTGGACAACTACAGCTGGAAGAAAATTCAAACTGCTAAGTTCACACCCTAGTCTGCCCCACTGTAGGTTGCTGTCTGATCATTCTCAGGTGTCTTGTACAAAGATACTCCCATTTTTTTAATGGACTTTCCAAACCTTTCTCCCTCTTACTGTTGCAGAGAACTCAGTGAACATATTCTTCCATTAATATGCTTATGATTTAATACCTGTGCAACAGAGAATGGCCTTAAAATGGGCTGTTCCACATCTCACAGAACTAAAACCAGTACCAGGATGTGACATGAGATGGAAACCATATAGGAGATATAAAATAAGACTAAGGCTATTTATCTGTGCAGTATGAACATTGTAAAACTACTTTTGCTTTAATTATTTTTAATTTCATCAGGTTGCAGTTGGGAATTTTTCCTTTTTTTTTTCATGGAAGGATTCACAAGAGGAGAAGGAGGATCTTGCCTAATCACAAGACTTTAAAATTGAAAGAGGGTTTTTATTTCAAAAACCTGATTTCTAACATAAAGAGATGTCATTTAAAGGCTCTTATAAATGCAAGGACTAGGAGCCTCTATTAAATGACCAGGCATCAGTCTTAAAATAAACAAAAGAAGTAATTTATCCTCACAGTGCGTAATGAAATTACAGAACTCATGGCCACAGGATGGTGTGGAGGTCAAAAGTGTAAATGGACCATAAAAGGGATTACATGAAATCATGCAAATGAAATCCATCACTAGCTACTAAACATGATGATCGAGATCCAACCTCCAAATCAAAATGTCTCTGACACTGATCCTCAGAGGGCAGGAGCACACAGGGGAAGAAGGATTGCTCTGTATGAGAGATATATCAGAGTTCATACACTTTTTTCCCCAGACATTTGCTCTTCTCACTCTCAGAGGGAAAGCACTGGAAATTTTTTCTGACTCAGGGTGGCAGCTACTGCGTGTGTTCTAAAGTCTTCAAAAATCTGAACTCATTTTATTTGACACCGTATGTTTTAGAAATGTTTCCATTTTAAATTCAAGATAATTAGGGGGAAAAGCCTGCAAAGAGTCAAACAGAGGGCAAAAAGAAACAAAAGCACCCAGAAAAGATAGAGTTCAGAACATTTTTTATAAAAGTCATATTTTTTCGTAGATTTGTGCGTCAGGGTCTCATTTTGCACTACAGAAAAATATTTCCATCCAATGATTGCAAGAAAGGAAGTCCCCAATACAGAAACCTATGCAGTGCCCACCCTCCAAAGTGGCTGAGGGGCTGAAGCAACCTGACAGAACCATTCTGTAAATCTGCAGTAGGTCCCTGTGGCCTCTGCAGCGCTGAAATCACCGCTTGCCTTTGCTTTCACTGCACTGAATAATTTGTGCCTCTCCCTTTCTGTGTGAGTCAGGCTGTGAAAACTGAGCCTTCTCTGGCCTGTAGGATTCATAAACACCTGCCCCATTAGCCCACTTTCACTATTTGTCTAATGACAACCACAAGTAATGACCTGACTCGAGTCATGTCAATATTCTGCCAAAAACTACCATTTTGCCCTCTGAGCCACCTCCTCCCACCCACCCATAGGTTATGGAACTGTGGGATGGTTGCCAAAGAAATGCAATAAAAAGTAGGAAATGACACATACAAATAAAATTCACTTACCTAAAAGCCCTGTTCATCAGATCTCTTTGTGCTGCCTCCTCCCCCACCATCCTCTCCTCTACTTCCAGCACTTGTTTCTCCTCTCTTTTCATTTCCTCTTCCTTTGCTGGCTTTTTTCTTCACATGTTCTACATTCTGTACTTTTTTTTTCCTTCTCTTTTTCATTGCCCCCCCTTTTTTTTTTTCCTTTGGCTGAAACAGAATAAATGAATGCTTTCCTAAGTTTTCCTTTCATTAGAGCCAGTAAAGCATTATGGCATCACTTTACCATTTTCGCTTCCTTTTCCCAGTTTTTCTTCCACCACTTTTGTTGTTTTGTAGTTTTTTGCTGGCCTTCCTCCATACCCCTCAGTCCCTCCTTGCAATTACTCCTTCCTCAGTGACTTCATGTCCTCCATGTTATGTCCTAGTGCAGTCTTAAATGATCCAGATTTCCAGGTGGATTTTTGGGCATCTGATGTTTTGATGGTGGAGGGAAGTCACCCTAAACACACGAGGCAATGTTGAGCACTTCTGATGGAAATTTCTAGGTGCACAGCTGTGGCACAGCAGGGATGTGAACTGGAGTGGAGCAGAGTCCTGTTCCAGTGGTCTGAGGGGAAAAATCCCCCCTTGCGAAACTCTAAACCACTTATTTCTCTCTCCTTCTTTAAATGTTCTAACTCACTGCCTGAGAATCCATTCCTGAAATTTGGAATCTTTATCCTCATGGATGTCCCTCCTGCCAAGACTACACAATATTAGGAATAGCACTCTGTTTTAACTTGTGGTTTTTGTGGTACTTAAAACCCCTCTGTTTGTCTGTGGATCCCAGCAGGATTGTTCTGCTCTGATTTGGGCTGCATTGGCTGCAGGAGAACCTGGCCCCTGCTGAGCTGGGCCCCTGGAAGCTGTGCAGGATCATGTCTAAACACAAACTGTGTTCTTTGAGGTTTAGACTGGCTATAAACCACTGAACACATTTTAATTCATCTCTGTGTCCCTTCATTTCTGTTAGGTGCAAGTACATTAAGACTTATAGGGAAAAATATTATTTCAGGTTTGTGAGATAACAGTGAAGAAATGGAAACAGCACTAGCTTTAGTATATATTTTCTATGCTAAGAATTGAGAGAATGGGAGATTAGGTCTAAAGTAACAAGCAGAGAAAGGGAAAGAGCCTGAGTAGCTGAGAATTTCATGCTATAAACATTATTCTAGAAATAATCTTTTTGTGTTTCTGTTCTTTACCTTTTTAACAGCACAATTACCCATGACAATATCAATTGAATGTGACATTAAAAAAAAAAAACCCACACAAGCCACCTTAATGAAATACCATGTGCAGCTCAAACAACAAAAAAAGATTCCCATTTTGGGGGCTTCTCTCCATTTATATTAATGATCAGTTTTCCTGTGGAAGAATTGCACAATATGGGTTTTTCCTGCTTGTTCATAATAGGTCATTCATTAAAGAAAATACTGGGAAATTATTTTCTGTGTCGGTGGATACAGGATGCCATCTGGGAGCTGAAAAAATGAACAGAAATCAGACCGGAGGAAAAAAAAAATTAAAAACCATGAAATTAGTTACACTTAAGGAAACCAGCTGAATACTTTCACAATCCCAGCCTCTCAGACAGGCTGCAGTAATTGGTACTTTGTCCATTTACACCAGGGATGCTCTCTCACAAGGGATGGGCTGGGGTTCCTCAGCAGGCCCTCCCTGGGTGATTCAGTGCCACATCTCCCCTGGGCTTGTCCCTCTTTGCCATTTCCTCCTGCAGCTTCTCCCAGCTGGCTGCTCACTGCACTCCTCCACTCCTCTGCTTCTGCTGCCAGTGTTCTGCTCCCTTCATTCCCAGGTGCTCTCTGACCAGCCCTGTAACACGTTGCTGCTGTGATAGATCAGCCATGCTCCTCCCTGGCTCCAAGAACAACAAGTAGATCAGAAAACCTCTTAAAATGTGAAATTGGTTACTCTGACTCCAGTTCCAGGGTAATCAAAAATTCAGGGCTCATCATTTTGGGCTTAGGTGGATGGCTTAAGTTAGAAGTACGTCAGCTGATAAGGAAATCACAACAATATAGTGAGAAATATGTTAAGATGAATATGGCCATATGCCAATTTTTCCCCCTCATAAATAAGATCCTTGTTTACCAAATGTTCAGTTTTGGTTATGTCACTATAAAAATCAAGCAGCTGGTAATTCAGGCTTGATTAGCAGGTCTCCAGTTTTGATTAGTAAATTACTGTAGTAATCAAGGTTAATTCTAATTTCAGAGCTATGCCACAGATTTTATTTCTTCCAGACAACTGGATTTATCATTCTGAAGAAGGAATATTTTAATAAATGTTACAAAATATCCAGAAATAGATTAAGAAAGCAGATCCAAAGGGGCTCTGAAAAAATGGGGAATCAGAGCAAAATGCTGCTCAAACATGAAACAGTTAATGTCCTAAGAATAAAATTCCAAGCTGCAATTTTGCAGTAGATTTCCACATAATATATGCAGAGATTGCATTGCTAATTTCTTTTACCTACTGTTTCTATTTCTATCTTTAAAAATTGTTTTCTTTGGATCTTCATCTTTCATTTTAAAAGAAAAAAAATGAAAGTATACAGAGACGCTTAAAAAGAAACCCAAGAGACCATTATTAGTATAAAGATAAACAGTAGAATGGATTCTAACTGAGCCAGAAAACATCACTGTAGAATTTACATAAAATTTAGTTTTCTACCAAACATATTGCACATCCAGTTCCAGCTCATCTCATAATGAATATTCAAGCTTTCGAATGACCCACATGTCCCATAAGTGAGCAAGAGTCCCCAAAAGCCATCATTGTTGTTGAAGAGGCACAATATTAAAAAACATTGAGAATTCATTAGGGATTTTTTTTTTCCATGAAACTTTTACTAAATCTTTAGCCTGCAAATGCTGCGATTATTTGAGCATACAAGTCTGTCAGGGATTTGAGGCTGGATAACAAACTCTTATATGGTTTTTAATTAGGATGATATTATTATTTTCTAGTCATAATTCTGGGTCAGATTCTGTGTATCTTTCTCACATCACTTCTGTATAATTAGAGCCTAAATTATCTAAAATAAATATGAAGTTTTGCATTATCAACTCAGTACTGCATGCCTTTCCCAGATAGGAAGAATAGGCATTTTTTAGATCTACCATAACATTCCACTGAAAATATTGAGATAAATTTCTCCCCAATAACACAGAAAGAATTGATTAAAGAAGCCCTACAATATATGTATATAGAGACGAATTACTGAAAATTCAGTAAAAGCTAAAATTCAGTACAAAATGATGCAATTCCTATGTCCTTTGAGGGGAAAAGAAAACCAAAACCACAAACCCAAAATCCCTTTTCTAGAGAAAACATGCCATGTCCTTTTGTGAAAGGCTAGGGAGGAACCTGGAATTTGCTTCTGTTTCCCTATTCCACTGGACTAGTTATGCTGTGAGCAGTTTCCTTATGCCAGTGGAAATGGGGACTTTTGAATCAGACCAGGTTCAAGTGCTCCTAACTCAGCACCTTGTTCCTGATGATGGCAAACAGAAAATGCTTCACAAGGCTCCTTGGCAGTGCTAGAAAGTAAATAGCTGTCTCCTGGCCTGAAGCAAGGAGATCCTTATCCTTCCTGCCTCTCTCCCCTTATAAAGTCCTAGATATTTAACATTAGGTTGTATCTGCATAGTTATTTACAACCCAGCATCTAATGAGCCAAACACTGGCAGAAAGTGGAAAGCAGCCTGATCTATGAACATTTATTTAAGATTAACACTTTGGTAAAATAACAATCAATTTGAATGAAAGGTAAGCATATACAAGCTGGATTTACCAAGAATGTTGAGACTTGTCTCACTTTCACACATCAGCAACTTAGGAAGCCCCAAAATTTGCAAGAGAAGAGGAGAAAAACATTTTCAGGCAGAAAACCTGTAAAACAAATATTATACTATGCGGGGAAAAAGTGTGTGTGCTTTTTGCAGTCTGTGTTATACATGCAAGACAAGATTCACCTGGGGAAGGAAGGGGTGGGGTGTGGGGGTAGCAATTGCAACCAAGCCACTGCATTAATAGGGGACTTCCACAGATTTCTGGCTGGTCTCCAGTAGTACAGCAGCTCCCTGAATCTGGCAGATTTTACTCATTGCTTTTGCGCATGTTTTTATTTTTGGCTTTGGCTTTCCTCTCCTTTGCAGCTCTTCCAAGTTCCACAGAAGGAAGCACACAGCTGTCGTTCCTCAGGAACTGCACAGGAGACAGTGGCCCCTGGAACCACCTCTCCCACCAACAGTTCTGATGCAGGCATCTACAAGGAGCTTGGGCTTCATCCCCAGCTCCTCTCCTGGCCAAACTGATTCCCCAAGACTCTGGTGAATTATAACCAGCAGCTTCCAGGCTGTGGTTGCAGTATGGATAGAGATATATTTGAGGATATTAACAAAATTCAGAATAACATTCAAAACTACAGCACCCAGAAGTTTTGTGTTGCCCTAGTGAGAGATAAAAAACTTTGAATGGGAAGGAAGAAGTGCCTCTAGACCCCTTGCATACAGAGACAGGGTGGCCTACAACTGACTCTGCTGGGTATTCACCACTCTTTGTCAACTTCCAAGCAATCAACATAAAGGAATATGACCAGGGAGTCACTGCAATCTTGTTATTCCCTGCAGAACAATAGTTTTCTTAAGAGCAGCCTGGCCTACTCTAAATGAGAAAAGTCATAAGGTTTCTAGAAAGGTATTTATTTTATCCACAGGTAGGATTGCAACACTGAATGTGATAGTCTCTATTTAGGGTGATTAATAATATGTTATGTTGCTTGTTTTGAGTAAAGACTATAGGCCAACTCCTGCCCTGGCTCAAATCCCATTGAATCGATTGTTTAGCCTAAAAAATGGATTACAGAATGTGGCTATAATTTATGCATATAAAAATGCAGAGGATTCTACTTTAGGAACAGTGATTTTTATTTATGTGCACTGCAGCAGTGCCTAGAACCCGAGATACTTCACTCAGGACAAATACACAGGAATTCCAGGCATGGGCTGTACCCCAAAGAGTCTTTGATCCAGGCAAGAGACAAGAGACAGCAAACAGATGGGGAGAGGGGCAGAAATGACGAGGTAGCTGGGAGATAATTATGTTCACTATGTAGTTACAGCACATCAGCTGCTTAACCACTATCATTTTTTTTAAGGTATCACAGAAGAGGAGAGTTTTAAGGGAGGATGTGAAGAAGGGCAAGTGTAGTAGCTTGGTAGATTCTTATAGGAGTGGACCCTTGCAGGAGAAACTAAAATGACTACAGTCCAAAATTTAATAAATCAGTATTTCAAACAAAAATCTGTTGTGAGTGGTGGGTGACACATTGATCTGTCAGTACCTCGTGGGTGTGATAGGGGAAAACAGTCTTGGGAGAGCCTATGTGGGCCTTAAAATATCCATAGGATGTTTTTGGCTGCAAGAGAAAAAAAGGAGCTGATGAAAGGGTGCACAGTGGAAGAGGGACATGATAAAACACGCATGTTGAAAATGCACCCCTGCAGTGGAGTCAGAGAGAATGGGCAAGGAATGTGCCTGCCAAGGCTGGAGAAACTGGGACTCAGGGCTGAGCTTCAGTTTTGGATTGTGCTTGTCAAAAGGTCAGACATGAAGTACAAAAAAGGAGATGGTTTGTCCTACAAAGGATAAATCTAGAGAGAAACATGTAGAAAGACATAATGTATAGAAAGACACAATATCTGGAAAGAAAGATGGCCTAGAACCTGAAATGATGGTGCTAAAACAGCGATCACAGCTTTAGTTTTTGTTTTGCAAGACACTGCTGGCATGAGAGTCCCTGCACTTAAAAAGGGGAAACACTTCTGAGACTTGCTATACCTTAGGGCATGAACAAATTATATGGAAAAGTGAGGAAAACAGATCACAAAAAGAACAAAAACTCCTCTTTAAACATTTTACGGCTTTTTGGTTCACTTTTTCTCCCTACAAAGTTAGTAAGAATTATAGATCAATAAATGAGCCATTGAAAACAAACCTTTTTTGGTTTTTGTCACACATATAAGGTCAATTTTTGTGTGTCATTGTGGGAACTGCATAAAAGAAACCTAGGCATGGAGCTGCTTATACAAACTTGTAGGAGTAACTTTTGGATAGCCTGCAACTCCAATCTTACTGTGAGCAAAAATAGAAAGGACACTATGCATGCTACCGCAAAGCAATTTTTATATTATAAATATGTTTAGGTGCTATCTAAATTACCACCAGAGCTCTGACCTTGATTACAAATGATCATAAAGTAAAGAATACTTTGAAGTGCCCCAAACTGTAGATCAAAATGCTTGTATATTCATCACTTTGACTAAGATCCAGCCAAGATTTTCTTGGCTAATAAAGACTGTAAATTAAATAGAAAACAGGCCCAGTAAAGAGAGGTCATGGCTGCTTTTTTAAATGCTTACAGTCCTTTAGGGCAGGATGTCTGTGCTGCTTTAATTGTTTAGAGTTTCACTTTCTGCCATGGGAGCTGCAAATGTGCAAGCCTCTGTCTCATAATGTTGCAATATAAACCTCCATTTAAACTTGATGGGTCCCTTCTCATTGGAGTTTTATTTTCCAGGCACTTTTGTGATGTGCTCTTTTATGAGCAGTGTGAATAAATATGATGGCAATATTACCTATGCAAATGGGCAGAACTAAAATGTCTAGGGTTAAGAAAAACAAAACAAAATTTCTGTTTTAAAATAGAACCAAAAGACCCAAAACATTAGTTACATTTTTCTTATTTTAATAATGAATTTGTTCTTGCCAGTCAGCATTTCTCTGCAGTACAACTACCCATGATCTGATTGGCAAAGTGTAAAAGTGAACCTAATTTCAGTCTTATTTTGACTCTTTTTCAGTGTGTAGGTGTGTGACCACACTGGGACTGCTCAGCAATCCTAACTTTTGGGAAGATCAGATGCCTTCCCATCCCACCTTGTCCCAGTCCACATGGAGAAGCTGCCTGGCAGTGCCTGATAGTGTGCAAACAAATATCCTGTTGTATGAGTACCTATGATTTATCACACCATGCCTAGCAGGGCTGTTATGAGCAGAGCTCTACGTTCCCTAATGAGCAGATTTTGCTTGTTTGAGGATGCTCCAATGAATGAACTTTTCAAATGTCTTGAATGCCACTCAAAGGAAACATCTTTGGGGATCGTGGCTTTAAAATATAAGACAAATTCCCACTTCTAATCCTGGTGGAAGTGGGTCTCCCCAGACTTTAAACGGTTTCTATATTTAAGTGATAAAATCATTGTGACTCACCAGAGCAGGACATTGGATGGTCTCAGTTTCTGTCATTTTATTTGCCTGAAAAGGAGCCAAGAATGAAGATTCACAAAGCAGATTATGGATTTTGTACATCTCAGTGAAAACACGTGATTGCTGGAGAAAAGTGAGCTGTCAGATCTTTGTGATAGTCCTGCAAGGGGTGTAAATGGAAGGGCAGGAGATGGGAGAGCTCAAATGCATTGTGTGCTACTGGTAAAACACTCCATCCTTAGTTATACTAAATTAAAATTTCAATTGTTCTGGAATCACCCTACACTAAAGTGCAGATTTCTCAGGACTAGCCCAGAGATTAAGCTGTAACTAATTAGGATGTCATGATATTATTTAGTTCAAGACACTCTTTCAGGGGAGGATAGTGCAGTAGAAAATAGACAATAACCAGCACTTCACCAGATAGCACAGCTTCTCTGTAAAATTCACATTGCTCCTTGTGAATTTTTCCTATCCTCTAAGCTAAAGGTTGGCCAGATTCTATTTTTTTAGCTACATCATTGTAAATCTGCAAAAAAGAGTCCAATGAATTGAGAGTTTTGTAAATCAAAAACAACAAAAACCACTGAAGTCACAAAAGAGACATTCCTATGTTCCCTGTATTCTGCACTGTGCTTTTTCTTTCCCTCCTTCCTTGCCACATTCTTTTCTGAATCTCTGTACTTATTTTATTCCATCCTCTTCTACCCATTCTTATTGATGTTTTTTATGGCGTTGGGTGGGTGGTTAACTAACATTAGGAATAAAAGACATACAAAAATACATCCACATATAGTACCAGCCAGAGCACCTGCCTCCTTTCTCTTGGTTACCTCAATGTCATTGTGAAACAAGCTATATATTTATTATTTAAACAATATTAAACAGTAGGGAAATAAAAAAAAGAACAGTGTGGTTTCCTACAGAACGAGAAAAGGAGCAGTTAAATGAGTACCTCAATTCCTTGCTGTTGAGAAGCTGTTACTATAACAAACAGCAGCAAGACTTTTAAATCAGGCCTCTGGAACAAAGCATTCCAGTGTCACTTTTACATTAGTGATTGCAGTTGATGTCATTTTCACAAAACAAAATTATAACCAAAATGGATATTTCAGGTCAGAGTGCCACAAAGAGTATATAGATACATTTCCATCAATAAATCTGCCCTCTTCCTGCCCTGACATAAGTGTTCAACCCCTCGTGATTGACGTTTTTACCACTAAATTATACTATGTCTGCTTCTAGAAGAAATGTCTCCATTACAAAATTAGCTAACCATCAACATAACATAAAATAACTTCAACATGGTGTCATTTCACAAGAATATTGATTCGCACAGACTTACTGGATTAAATCCTGGTTTCCCATAAAAGGAGCAGCCATTATGTCTTTGGTGGACAGAAAAATATATGTCGTGGAAAGATGTATATTGGGGTGATTAAAACTTCATTGCTGAGCTAAGAATCACAAGATTTTGTCCTGTGGCAATCTGAAACTAAGAAAATGGTCAAATTATACATAAGAACAAGGCTAAAACCAGCCACAGTCTGACATTTTATTTTCCTCTGCTGGAAGATACTTTTGACTATTGGTTCCACAGGAAAAGTCAACAGTTATTCTAGATTGACTACTGAGTCTGCCAAAATCTTTTCAAGACCTAGTGGTAGCTTTTCCTTCATTTACCTCACCTTTAGTGCTAATGCCTCATACCTCACAGGATGTTTTGACTAATACCTGAAAAGGATTTGAAATTCTTAGCCAAGCAAAACTATTTAAGGGCAAACAATCACAATATGTAGATGTAGTTTATTTGTATATCAAAGCTCTAGAAAGACAGGCTACTTAGAAAAGAAATTTTTATTATAGCCTTCTCTATTCTGTTTTTATAAGATGTGCCCTGTATTTAACATTGAAATAATAATGGGCTAAATTCATTCTGGGCAGAATTTTGTGATTGTAATGAAATTACATTGTGGATAAATTTGGCCCAATTCTCTGTGGTGACCTTCATATCAGAGAAGATCCTAAAGGAGAAAATACCATTTCTATGACCACAACTCACTCCAGGTACCAGAATACTTTGAATTTCAGCCTGATTTCTTCAAATGCAAATGAAAAGCTGTCTCCATTGAGCAAGGCTGATGTCAATTGTTGTACTCACTGTGCTATCCTGAAGGCTCCTAGTCTGCTGAGGGCTGGTGGTGTGCTCTGAGAACAGGAGTGAACAGCTGCCAGATTTCTCACTTTCCATCAAGTACTTGTCATCTCTCTTCATCATGGAATGAGAGTCTTTACAATCCCACTGGTGCTGGACTCCCTTTCAGAGAAGAGTTGGGTGCCATGCCAGCTCCAAGAGAACTCTCAGGAAGAGGTGTAAGAGATGTGGGGGAAGCAGCAGGCTGCTGGGGGGGATGGCAAGTCCAATGTCCAGGGCAGGGGGTTGTCTTAGGTTGGAAATGGAGGTGAGCATTCTATTCCTATCTAATGGAGGTGAGGCAGTTATCTTCTGTTCATTGGCAGCTTTCTTTGTCTCTTCCACAACCCATCCTCCCTCCAGGAGATCTCTGCTGTTCATGGCCAGTGAGTGTCCCTGCACGGCTGAGAAAATTCCATCATCCCGTGGGGAGATGCTCTGCCCATGGGAGGAGCCAAGCATTCCTACCTGGGTACAATCTGACTTTGGAACACCACAACAGCCTTTTCCACTGGATCCCTTTTCCACTGAATCCACATGATTCCCAGAGGAGCAGCCCTTTCCCAGGGAATCGTTAGAGGAAGCCCAGGCCCATCTCCAGCAGCCCTGGAGCTGCAGAGGAAAACTCCCCCCTTGTGCAGGATCCCTGCTCCAGCAGAAGCACAGCTGGCACTGCAGGAGGGCTGAGCCACCATGGGATGGGACTGCTGCCACCTCCCTGACCTACAGCCTGCCAGCGCGCGTTCTGACTCTTGTTTTGTATTATTGCATTGTTTATTTTATTTTGTATTTTCTTCCCTGTTATTCCTGCTCCCATATCTTTGCCTGAGAAACTGTTAATTTCAAAATTTGGAGGGAGGGGGTTTGCATTTTCCATTTCAAGGGAGGCTCCTGCCTTCCTTAGCAGACTCCTGTCTTTCCAAACCAAGACAGGGTATTCCTTGAGAAGCAAAGCCCCATCCCTTGGTCACATCTTGTGCAGTTTGTGGGGCAGGGGCACACATGGGGTCCTGCTCAGCAGCTCCCTCTTATCGTGGCTCTGTGTGGCAGGGAAAAGGAGCACTTCACCTTGGGGAAATAAGTCTGTGGCTGCCTGCTGGTGAAGGATAGTCTGTCACCATTCATCCCTGCCCATTAAGACTCGGAGAGGACAATGTTACCAGTCTCTGCCCATTCAATCCTTTTTTGTTGGCACATTACTATTTTATCATTTTGATCTTCTCCCTACTGAAGATAAAAGACACCATGGGCGGGATTCATGAATGACTACTGTTATTTATCGACCCAGGACTTTTTGAACATTTTTTCCCCTCTGATTCATGAACCACTTTTCCATATTCGAAAAGCAGTTCATAAATCGTTCAGCACCAGCAGAAATTAATAATAATGAATTCATTTACATAAAAGGACTCATCCTGCCAGTTGCTGATAATGTTTGAAGCCAGAACCTTGTCGGCAAACAGGATTTTTGCTGGCAGTGCAGGAAATAATCTTTTGTTTATAAATTAATTAAAATATACTTTCCACCTGCTTTTTAGAGCTGCTGTGGGGATATGTTGCATTGGGCAACATATTCTGCATTTTCTTTTCTGTTTTGTTTTTTTTTTCCTAAAAATGATATTGCCTAGAATGGAAAAAGGGATGTTTGGTAGCATTAAGAGTCAGATCTTAAGAGATAGTAATGTGTTTTGATTTGTTTTAATGTTTTGAGTGAGGATTTCTTCTTAAGACATTGCATTTCATGAGGGTCGGTTTGAATGTATTCTTTCCTGAGGATCCATCTGTGTTCAGTCCTCCTCTCCCTAAGTCTCATCCTGAGTTTCAAATTCGAGTGAACTTAAAATCATAACAAGAACCTCCCACGTTTCCTCTGAACTCAAACCCACGAGTTTCACATGATTCTGATGCAAAGCTATCTATAATCAGTCCCAGGTTTATTTTTGGAAAGGAAGGATGACCCTGAGTGAGCACTTCCACAATGCCAGCCAAGAGGTAGAATGTGTGAATGGATGTTTTATGCCATGCTTTGCCACATGTGTGCTGTGTGTGTTTCATTAGATCTGAATGCCCCAAGGCTGTGCCCCTTCCCCAGGACCAGATTTACATCATTTACCCAAGTAAGAAGCTCATAGTCTTGCTGTGCTGTGGGACAAATTTCACAGAAAAATAACATTTACAAGCCCACCCCATAAATTTCCCTTTGGATCACCAGCCCAGCAGAGTCAGCACAACACACCCCTCACCTCAGTGCTTTCCTGGGTGCCCTCAGACTCCTCCAGGTGACTCCATGTGCCAGGGAGATCCAGAGCTCCTGTGAAGCATCTTCTCCCCATGTGCTCTTCATGGAGACTCCATGCCTGCAGCAAAGTTCAGCTTCCAATTCAGACCTCAAGCCCACAAATTCTGCACAGCAATAGCCAACACTGCTGCATTTTCAGTTGCTCTTTGCATTCAGGCCCAGCTCTTTGAAGAGAAAGCCTGGAAAAACCTGTGCATGCTGCTTTTCTAAGTCACACATGAGAGCACTCGGAGAGATTTTCAAGGAGGGAAATGAAATAACCATATGAAGATCTTACACAAAAAAATAGCCTAATTATCTCTTAATATTTTGAAAAGACTTGACACTTGAGTGTCACGTATCATTGCAAATTAGTGGAAATATTTCTTAGCTTGTTTATTTCTTTACATGCACAACCATTATTGGAAACTGAGATATGGAAAATTATTTTCTGGTTTATACAATTTTTTGGTGTTGGAATTTGTCATTCGGTACTCTTATTTTCATTTGTATTTAAGATTTTCCTTGCCAAACACAGAACTGAGTGCTATCACAAAGAAAGACTAGAAGTTGGAAGTGCGTATTGTTAGTCTGATCTGCATCCTATGGATGTGTAGGGCTTCAATAGAAAAACCACTTTTAAAAACAACAACAAAAGGCCTGAATTGTCTGTTTCTACTTTTGCTTTTAATTGGTGACATCTGTGTTTGCTGGTATTGAATGAAACTTTTATTTTGTGTTTTTGAGAAGGAAGAGTTGGCTGACTAGTTGTCTTTATATGGTTTAATTTCTCTCATGTCCTCTTCTCTTTCATTTCACTGTTTGAAGACTTCTAAGGTAAATAATAAGGGAGCCAAAAGAGCTCTCCAGACAATTCACTGGACTGTTCTGAGCTGAACCACTTACTTGCAGCATGAACCTGGGCAGCTCACTTAAACTTTGTCTTCATCTGTAAACCAGAGTTAATGATTCAGCTTAGAGAACTTTGAGTTATGTTCACAAAAATCATGATATAAATCTAATATATTATCCTATTAGTATTCAGATCACCTTTTCTATGTAACAAATGGCATGTTGCTTGATGTAAGTTTGGGTAATTATTGATATTACCAGTTACTACCAGTTTATACTAGTGTGTGACCAGAAACAGCCTATCACAGGGTTGTCATGGCTGTATTTGCTACATTTATCCTTGGCTTTAGCAACTTTTTATGGACTTCAGTAGATGAAGAAGATAGAAAAAGGAGACTATTTGGATGTGGATCAGAAAATAGAAACTGGAATCAAGCTTCTCAGCAGAAATCATCTGAAGGAAAGAGGAAAGTCCTGTCTGTGGCAGTAAAATGACATGCTAAGCAGACTGAAAGCAACATTCATAATTTTAGGAGTCCACTTTCCTCAGCACATAAATTCAAGACATTGAGATTGTAACAGCTAAAGCATTTAGAGAGGTGATTGTGAGAAGCACAGGAGAGGGCTCCTGGATCATGCTGTCAGCAACACCAAGTGAAACTGTGTTTACTACTGGAGAGGAGACAGCAAACTGGCAAATAATTTAGGCTTCAGGTTCCCCAAAATACATTCCTGTCCGAGCATGGGAACTATCAAATAGAGACTGCAAACAGAACTGAAGTTTTAGCTGTAAGACCCTGATTCTTCACAACACTCAGCTGCAGAAGGATCTTTAACAATCTGCAAGCTACTGCACACAAGACAGGCTTTTGAAAACATCCTACTGCAAGTGAAACTGAGCCATAAAAATGCATAAGCCTGAATAAATGCCTGTTGGGACCTGCAAAGAGCCACTAAGTCCTGATCCCTGTAGGAGCTGCAGATGTTGCTGGAAGCCACTACTAACAAGAAGCCAAGTGTGTAGCTGGAGCTGCTCAGCACCTCTGAGGATTTGGCCTTCGATTTGAGCAGCCCACAGACGCTAAAGCCCAATCCTAGGAGGCTTCTCAATAAGCTTTAGGAGGGGGAAAAATCTGAGGCAAGCTTTCAACCTTCTCAATTAGTTTTAGTAAGGATCTTCAAAGTTATTTTCATGAGGAAAAGGGACAGAAAACGAACTTGCTTAAAGGAAATCAGAAAATCTGGGTTCTGTTCCTGTCCTCATCAAACATAGCAACAGAGTTTTCAGGAATGGGCCAGGTCACAAAGGCAAGTTGGAAAAGAAAAATATAATAAAGGCAAAAGACTTTTTGTGAGAATCAATATGTAAATTCAATCATGGCAAATTATTCTGTTATGAATTTTCATACTTCTGCAAAAAATATTAATGCTTTTCAGTTATCAAATAATCCAAATATTTTAAAACATCAAATAAACTTCTTATCAAGTTCTTGCCAAGCACAGGAGGTCCTACCACATGGTCTAAGTAGAAAGTACTGTAGGGCATATAAAGCAAATGGCAAGTTTTAAGAAGCAATTGGTATATGGCTTTTAGTTTCCTTTCTGGCTTCTCTTATTTTTTGCTTGATATACTAGAGAGACACAGCCATGAGATGCCAAATGACTTACCATTCATTTCCAGGGAGAAGTCTCTGTCTCCTTTCTGCACCAGGGCTTGAATCTCTAGTAAAAATATTATAACCTTCATTCAGTACATGCACTGCTCCAAACTTTGACAGATCGTCAATTGGAAAACAGATGAAATATCCATGAGACTAGGGGAAAAAAAATGAAGGAACAAGAATTTGAAACCCTCAGTATACTTATGTTCATTATATTCACATGATGACTTCTGAATGTTGAGGAATTAAGTCTTAAGGTATATTTTTGGGATCACACTTTCAAGCTTCCTACATAGTCATGAGACCTAGAAAGTTTTGTTTTACCTTTAAAAAAAAATTCTTTTTGCATTTGCAGGAGCTGAGGGTTTAAATAAAGCATCAAATACCTCGAAGTTCATGATAAAATAGTAAGAACTGGCAAAGCTGCTTATGATAACAAGAAAAACTCATTTCAGAAACTAGTGGAGGAGAAGGAATAAAGTACAGTTCGAGACAGGAGAAGGTTTTGAAATGTTACCAGTTTGGAAAGGTTGCATGTTTTCATTAGCTTGGCACTGATGTGAGGGGTTATCTCAGCCTTTTGTATCCAGGTGTGAGTTTTTTGTGGGCTTCTCTGAGACTAAACCACTCACTAACAATTTCAGTCAATTACCACTATTTCAGATTGTATTTCTCTTTTGCATCTTATTATTTTTTTTTATTTTTCTGTCAGAATTTTCCACTGAAAATAGGAAAGTCCTATTTTCTCCTTTCTTTCCTTGGGTCTGACATGGTGCAGAGCTACAGAGGGGTCCCTGCACAGCTCCTCCTCCTGCAGAGCAGAGGTTTTCCACCCCTGGCAGAGGGAATGGGCCCTGCCCTGCCTGTTCCATTTGCTGGGATCAATCTCTTCCCAAGCCATGGGACATCCCTGGATGAGAGAACTCTCCTCAGAGGCCAGTCAGACGCTGTGGTGTTTCCCAGTGAGCTGGAAGGAAGGTTACTCTTTTGGTGACCCACCTTTTACCTGAGAAAGCAAAGAGCCCTTCTGTCCAACCCCTGCTTCCATCAGGAAAGGAGGAGGAAAGGGGAAAGGGGAAAGAGGAAAAAGGAAAGGGCAAGGAAGAAAGGAAAAAGATCTCTGTATGGTTGATCTCTCACACAAGTGCCACTGTAAACTGGCTGCATTTGAAGCAGCAAGGCAGGCATCAGAAAGCAGCAGAAATGGGGAGCTGGAAGGATCAGCCAGAGCGAGGCTTCCCAAATACTTTTGAACTGTCTGATTAATACCAACTCTCAAAATTTCTCAGATATTACCAGACAGCAGATTTCTCCCTGTGCCAAAAGGGCCATTATTTCTAAGGACCTCCACCTCCAACCACTTGCCAGGGGAGAGGAACTCATCTCTACTCCTCACAAAGACAGACATTACTGAACCTGTTCTTAAAATCTCTTTGGCATGACACAACATAATTACTTTCTAGGAAGTACTAGAAGTACTGGAACTACTGCTTCCAGTGTTCCACAGAAGGAAACTCTGACTAGATCCTTCACAGTATACCATCTCTGTTTTTCCCAGCAGACATGAAAGAAAATGGAAGGCAGTTCTATTTTCTTAGACCTCCTTCCTTTTTTTTTTGCTTCTCCATTCAGCTCCCAGAATGTCTTGCAATAGATATGGAGTGGTATTCTGGTGTATCTAGAACAGAAGGTTTCTCTCAAGCACTAGGACCCAATCCCAAAGCACAGGAAATAGAAACAGTGATGTAAATTATCTGGAGCACTTCATTTCACTGTAGGAAGGGAGGAATCTTGAGTTTAACTAATTATTTTATAAGCTCTTTCAAATACAAGAAGGGTTACATAGTGAATGATGGATGTATTTTTTTCTTAAATAAATGCATGTATTTATTTATTTGGTACTTTCAATAGGTGTTTTAGATATAGCATTATATGATAACCAGCTCTAAGATTTTTTACATTTACGTAATATTTACCTAAATTAGATATCTAGAAATGCCATGTAAGTTGCTTTCTACTTTTAAAGGTCACAAGTTTTACAGTTTTAAACCCCTGGTATAAAGATAGAAAGCATATGGTACATGTTTTAATGGGACTTTTAAAAAAGTTGAGATATTGAAGTATATAATCAGGCATTTAATATCATTTAATGTCTGTTACTTAGAACCAGATTACAGCTGTGTCACAGAAATGAAAAATAGAAATGGACACAAATTTTAAGATGAAATGTTGATGCTGAACAGATTTTAAGATGAAATGCTGATGAGGTCATTGATTAACTCAGTTCCATCACTGGATCAAGGTAGCTGCTAAACCAAATATAGAAATTCTTACACTGGTGCAAAACCCAGCCCTACCTCAGTTCTGCCACAGTTCTATCCCCCTCTTTGTATTACCAAAGACATGTGAAAACTGATCAAACTACTGACCATATATTTCAAAAAACAATATCACAATAATTGTCATTAGACTATGAAAGTCAGCATTGTTTAGGTAGCAAGAGCATTAATTGCAGGATTATGAAAATCTGGGATGAATTATGATGCAAATGATAAATTATAAATTTAGTAAAAAATTATAACTACTTGAATTCATATAATACCAGGCTCAAGAAATGCTGAGGGACTGCTACCTCCTAGTCTGTTTTCATTTACAAGTTCACTTTAGAAATGTTGAAGAATCAGTACGTATCATAAAATTGCTCACTCACTGAAACCAGCTATTTTTAAAGTTTTATTTAAGGGAGATAATGAATAAGACTAAATTGATGCCAGGCATGAAGCAATTTTAACCAATACATTCAAAGTCTATAATACAAAATATTGGAAAATTATATGTACAGTGATCTCAAGTAACAAGATGTTAAAATTCCTTGGAACCCCGAAACTCTTCTATTCATTCTGTTCTTCTTCTTTCAACCTCACTGTGGGAGGCTCCATCTCTGACATCTTTATATATGATGTTCTCATTTCAAAATGCCACTGAACCTTCAAATGAACACTTGCCTACGATCTTTGAATTCAAAAAACCTTAAATCAAGGTTTTTATATTTTAGTGCACTCAGCCATAATACACAGTGAAAGAATTTTGGTATTTAGTCTAGCTCTTATTTCAGAAGAAAAGAAAAGAAAAGACAACTCTTAAAATGAAAACAATAGTTGAGTAGAATGAAATACCAGCAGTACTGGGTAATTTTTAGACAGGATATTTCAAACATATATTGAAAAGTGAAGGAAATGAAAAACCCTTTAGAAAGTTAAATCTGGAGCAAAATACAGTATTTTTATAAGATTTTTCTCATATATTATCATGAAAGGATGAAAATAAATGATGTAGGGCAAGCAGTGTCTGTATAGTACTTGGAGCCCGGCACCTACTCCCGGTGTTCGTGTGTGTGGGATTTGCATGAGGAGCTTTGAAGATCTCATTCCTGGTGGACATTAGAACAAGGCAAGCAAGGACAGCTTGGTGCTCTGTGGTGGGCACAAAATTATCATGAACACACTTTTTATATATGCTTTAAACTAACCATATTTTTTTGTCATTGGGCTGCTGAGGTTTTAAAATTACAAATATTTTCTGAGGCCACTTGTTAGAACAAACCACCTTCTATACTGCCCTTTGTTAATCACCTATACACACATGAAGTCAACCTTGTATTTCCTTTTTTGAGATTACCTCTCTGATCAACCTGTTCCTCACCACACTCACAGTAAAATAATTCTTCCTAATCTATGCTACATTTTCCCTCTTTCACTTTGTACCCATTAATCCTTGTCCTGTCACCACAGCTTCTGAGGGAGAGTCCCTCTCCAGCTTCCCTGTAGGCCCCTTCAGATACTGGAATGTTGCTCTCAGGTCTCCACTCTCACTCTGCTTAAATATCGATCATAGCCACAAAGAAATTAAAGCTTATTTACATCAAAATGTTAAAGCTTAACTAGTGGCAGAAACAACAAAAACACAGGTACCTCTCTCTGACTAATCTCATGCTCTGTAGCTGATAAGAACCATATGAGGACTTTTTTCACCTTAACTGAGTGGGAATGGCATGAGAGCTGTGCAGCTATGAGAAGCAAAAGAATTCACATTTTGTATGGATGCATTAAACTTGCAGAACTTAGCAGTGCCCAGGCAGCTGGATGAAGAACACTCTGGCTGCAGATCCTGGTGGCACAGCCAGCACTGCACACTCCCTACTCCATCCAGTGCAGCTGCTGCCCTGTGTGTGGCAGGATGCACTGCTCCCATCCCTTTAGGATGCACTGTTCCATTCCCTTTAGGATGCACTGCTCCATTCCCCTCAGGATGCACTGCTCAGATCCCTTTAGGATCCACTCCCTTCCCTTCCCTCTCTGCCCCTGGATGTTGCTGGCAATGCTCAGCAGCTCCCTGTGACTGCACAGGCAGCTGGAACAGCTCCAGTGCTCCAGAGAAAAGTGAGCACCTGAAACAGCTCTGCTGATGAAAGTAAAAAGAAGATGAACAAAAGAGCAGTGCAATACTCAGTGCTGCCCTACCACAGACTTTAATTTTCAGTATTTAAGCCCAGTCTGTAGTATGGTGTTACACCATGACAGCTGAACAAGTCAGCATTTGAGGTCTGCTACACTGACACGATAAGTTACCATCCTTAATTTGGAATTATTCAAATGCTCTGACCTCAGCAGATGTAATGAATGTTAATGCATTTGCATTCTGATATTTCAGGAATAGATGCAATAGATGAGGAAGGAAATCAGAAAGGGGTGAAACTAGGCTCACATCTATAGCACCAAATTTTTTTCAGGTGCTAAATCACTTTTTCCATTTTCAAATTAGTCTGAGAGGAAAACCAAAAGTTAAAACAGTTACCAGTTTACACAGTTACTCCTTTTCACCTAAAGAGGATATAACCACCATGTTATTCCCATATGTACACAGATGTAAAAACTCTTGGAGTATTATGAATGTGAAGATACAGAAGAAAGGTATAGCTGTGGAAAATAAATAAAAGAATCTTTCATTATCAGTAGAGCTTCTAAATAATATGTATTATTTTGATCAGAACATGATAAAAAAAATTCAAATTAAAAAAAATTCTTGTGGAAACATGCAAACATCTACAAGTTAGATACAAGCCAACTGAATTTAAATATCTAGACCTGGAAGTA